TGCATTTCTTAGCTCCAGCAGGTTAGATGATTTCAACCCTTGGTGTTTCTTTTCAGTTTGTTTGGGGGTTAACCAAAATCATATTTTCTGTTTTGGCGCCATATGACCTGCCGGCAACATACGACCATCGCAAACTAAATAAAATATAATAAAACGGAATCACCGAAGAACAAGACACATTCATTATCAGTAAAAGCTTAAAATGTTCTCTTAAATTGATAAATGATTTTGGTCAGACTGGTTAAAATGTTTATCTTCTGTGAATTGTTTAAAAATTAACTCATACAAACATTGTAATGGAGATATGTCTAAGTATTTTACTTATTAAGCAAGCAATAATTTGGAGCATTTTCTAATAATAAAATTATGATCTATGGACAATAGCCACTGAAGACAGTACTGAAGTTACATTACTGCCCAGCCAAATTATTAACGTACAACATTCAACAATAATCAAGCCATCATACACTTAACACTTATTTTAAAACAACACATGTGGAAAACTGGCGTTCAACACCGTCAAGTCAGTGGAGCGTTAGACATTAAATCGGGCGATGCATCATCAAATTCTTCATCACTTGCACTATACCTCTGCTCTGTCATGCTCAGAAGTAGTACCACTTTCTTGCCAGAGTACTGGTAAACTTTTTGACAGTATGTCCAGGAACAATGCGAAAGCTGAACTGTGCTCTGGTGAATTCAAAGTGGCTAACTGCCGTGATCCAGAGGATAAACTGCAAAACACACCACCCCTGGCGTACAACAGAAGTACCAATCTTAATATCTAAACAACAAATTGAATATTATAATTTAGGGTATTAATTAAATTGCTACGCATCCAAATTATCAATTGTTTATTCTAACAAAACAGTAATCAACAATATTTTCAGTGAAAGAGATCCTCTTCCAATACCGATAAAACTTTAATTATTTACACTACATTGCTACATTAAGCTTTGGGTTTTTTAGCTTTGAAGTTTGTCAAAAATGCTAGATTAAAAAGCAACATACTATATGTATATTGATCTGTTTTATAGACATGGGAATTCATATTGCTTTTGTGGATTATGCCCTAATGGCCATAGGCATCACAAAACAAGGTATTGGTTTTATATGGATCATTCTAAAATGTATATCTGATAAACAATAAAATTTTAAACTGCAATAATTCCGATAGCATTCTCTTGAAAGTCTACGAAATCTGAACTCCCGGGAGAAATATCTAAAACATTCAAATGTTGCACGGATTTTTTTATCTTTTAAAAGGTCACACCAAATTCAAGAGGCATTACTTTGTAATGTAAAACGTATTCATGTTTGATTCACCTCAAATAGCACTTTCTGATATAAGCATTTGATTTGCATGTGTGAACAAATTTCATTTAGAATAAAGTCAAGTCAGTCTTGCATGAAACAACGAGGTCACGTGTTTGTTTTATATTGGGATGAATGGTCAATACATGAGAAAGATGATGTATTAATACTATAACACTATACGAAAAGCTGCATTATTTAATGATGATATGAAAGAATCAATTTTCATATCTGATGAAGAGAAAAGCTAAATGGATAGAAATAAAAATACTCTATAAAGATTCATCTGAATCCATCTCAAACATCATTATTAACGTCTGGGTTACTTCTTACTATTATTATTGCTGCTTCAGCAGATTCTTCAAACTATAACATGTTCTTACCTCATAACCTCATTGTTTTTAATGTTTCCTGAAACTATTCAATAATATCAGCACATTTGCGTTACACACCAATGATCGTGTTCCATGCAGTACAATTAAGTCATCCTGGTGTTAACACCACACCGGCACTATAAAGGCCATTTGTATCATAGTTTGGGGACCTTTCTGTTGAAAATGAGTCAAAGTTAAATCGTATACATATACATGCACAGTGCTTTAACTGTAGTGGAGGTATTAGTTACCCGCACTCCAGAGCATGCCCACTTATTGGTTCATTTTTTGCTGGGGTTTACTTATTGTGACGGCAGAGAAAGGGAAAGCGACAGAAATTTCATATTCAGATGCTCGTTCATTGGTTTCTTTTTTTCTAGGATTTCACATTGTGACAACAGGGAACGTGTTTTTATGTTTGACTATGATACAAAAGAGAAAGAACATCAAAACACTCGGCAATCAGATTAATACTCGGGGCTACGCCCCCTCGTACAAATCAGATAGCCTGGTGTTTCGATGCTCTTTCTATTACATAACTACTTTACAGTTTCAATGGCGAAAACCTTTCAGGGCCCTTACTTGTATAATTACAAGCATGAGCGGACATCTGAGTAGAACATTGACATTTTGTAAGCTAGTTTGATTAATAAAGGACACACACAAGGAAATTAAATGTAGGGAATAACATTTATACATAATTAAACAATATATCATTAAACATGTAATTAAATAAACTTTGTCGGATTATTACACATTTTCTCAAAGCAAGAAGGTAGATAATAGTGTAAAAAATAAAAACTTATTGACATAAAGTACCGCTAATAACATGTATCCCGCTTTCTTCGAGTAGGATGCATAATTGATAATGTTTTAAATTGAGCTACTTAAAATGTATTCTACAAAGAACAAAAAAAAAAAAAAAAAAAAAAAAAAACGATATCGGCGAGAAAGAGAATATATGAATATATAAGCCGCGCCATGACAAAAAAATATATTTAAAGCGAACAGCATGGATCCTGATCAGACTGCGCGGATGCGTAGGCTGGTCTGGATCCATGCTGGTCGCAAACACACAAATTTGATTTTGTCATGGCGCGGCTCATATATTCATCATGAGATTTTTCTAAGATTTAATTCACAATAAAATGAAATAAATTCCGGAGGTTTTTCTGTTTTAACTGTTTTAAAATCATAACATACTATGAGCACAAAAAATTCAAAAAATAATTCATATGACATTTTGTTCGATTTTGCTATTCGATTACAAACATTACCAAATAAGACTTTATAATATTAACAAACATAACTAATATTGTTGTCATTAATATCTCACACAGAGATATTTTACAGCCTTGTGATTCTTGTTTTTGAAAAGGGTATAATATTTACTGCTGAGATACATAAAGCTATCTCACAACAGACATTTATTTAGTAAAAATAAAAGTGATACAATTATTGCATGATTTGATATCTGATAGATTTTTGATAATGTAATGTTAAAAATATTATATATTCATGCAGAACAAACATAACATAACATCTTTACAAATATGTGTCACACAGAGTCGACGTACTGTTGAGAATCACAGTATATTTTGTATTCATGTTTTTGTTGCCAATTTTCTTTTTTTATTTCCGTTCTGTATCATTTGCGAATCAGTTTGGCTATATTGTGTAGACATTATGTCTCATGTGTTATAAATCTGTTATTATTTTGGAATAAACTGTAACAACTATAATACCCCTAGCCAGTTTGTATCTGTTTTACTGCCTCTCTAGTTCACGGCAAGTGAGCATTCCTTTTTAAAATTAGTTCTTGTTTTTTGTTTTTGTTTTTCAAAATCGAAACAAACGTCAGTGCATTATTTTAATGACAATTGCTGATTTAATATATTACTTTTGTCATTACAGAAGTGATAAAGTTATAAAACTCATGCAAAAAAGATAAAACTGTTTTTAATAATAATAATAAAAATCTTTTTTTCCTTTAATTATTATTGATTTATTTTATGTTTTACCAACGTTTGTACCAACGTTTGTACAAAGAAAATTGGTTTGCAGTGAGTGTCTCTAAGTAATTACTTTAAGACTTTTGTTGTATTTCTAATCTTTTTAGTACAATTCCAGCCAAAAGAGCACAATCGTTTGCCAGAAAAAAAGAGAAATAGAATAGAAAAGAAAAAAGAAAAAGTAGAGAAAAAATTAACATAATGATGGAAAGTAAAATGTCAAATTAATCATGTCTTTCATTCGGACTTTTTCTGTCCCAAAGTATACAATATTTTTAAAACATTTTCATTGATTTCATTAACTAAGATTCATTCTTCATCAAGACAAATATTTAGAATAGCATGATCTTCAAAATTATTCCAGAATTCCCCTAGCAAATTCCCTATTATAGCATGAGTTCGTCTATAGATTAGTTAAAGCACACTGATATCACTCGACAACATTTCGTTCCGTGATGTCAATCGGCTATTACATCGTTTTCTTTGATTCCATTACGATACCCTAACCACACTGTAATTTTTGTCCTGCCAGATATCACGATCAAAATGATATACAGAAACGTTCCAGATTTTACAGGACTTTTAGTGTGGTTTATATAGAAAATGTTTTCGATTGTTTTTCTATTGTTTGCTGATATTAGTTGAGAAATTCTGGATAAAAATTCTGTTAATAAAATATAATATTTGTGTCTCCTACTAGTGTTCTTCTTTCTCAACAACAAACAAAACATTTCAAGAGATTGAATATTGTACACACAAGAATATATTCATCTTGATCTTTAGAAGTATAATTCGGATTTAAATAACAGAACACAACTTACTTGTTTGTTTTGGTGTCAAATATATATGCTGTTAATGATTGTTATACGTATCATGTATGTTACATTATATGATGTATAATTATATGGACGATATGAATTGTGCATGCAATTTTGTGTTTCTTGAAATTGTACCATTCTCACAATTATTGATTAAAACATATCAATATAAAGATAACAAAATGATAAGGGTGCATTAATTTTACAGTTGATATATTGAAAATCAATGAATTTATACACCCCCGTGAATATATATGTGAAGAAAACATTAATTACAGATTTGATTTTTTAAAGGACATTGACTAAAACAACCCTAAAACATTGTCTAATTCCCGATTAAATAAAAGTACCATCTCCACCCATTTCGCCCAGTGTTTTCAATGAAACTAGTTTTTTTTGTTACAAATGTACGGTTAAATCTTCTCTGATATATTGCAAGAAGTGAAATATATATAACAATGCGAATTGTTTACATATTACAGTGCGACCCTGGCGTAGGAATGGATGCCTTATACAATCTTATTTACCGACAACCACAGATTGTTATGATGATCGGAAGTGCTTGCTCCGAGGTCACCAAAACGCTCTCAGAAATTGTGCCTTATTGGAATCTTATCCTTGTATGTTTCATGATAATTCTTTGTATTATTTTAACATTCTTAGAATGTTTCAAATTATTTATATTTATGTACACGTATGTCGTGAGAATTTATCATTCATATAATTGAATACATACCATACCGTACTTTAAAAATCGACCCATATATATAGACGTTATCGGGAGAAGTGCATTATTTACAACGGCAAAGAAAATTAATGTAACCTAAAACCTAAAGCAGAGATTTTTCTTAAATTTTGCGTGATTTTAAAGAATCATGACTTAAAGAAATTGATGAAATTAGTTTTCTGGTTGCCGTCTTACTTTTTCCTTAGTTTTCAATCCCTGAAAGTACGGTTTTTGCTCTTTTGGAACATTCAAGGAAATGATAACTCATAACTATTATTAATTCTATTTCTGGTACTCTGTTTTTAGATATTTTGTTAATATATATGAGACAAGTTTTATCTATTAATATTGACGTTATTATTATCTTGATTAACACAGGTATCATATGCATCAACCTCTCCAGCTTTGAGTGAACGGGAGAAATACAAAACATTCTTCAGGCTGGCTCCTGCAGATTCGTCTCAAAATGTTCCGCGAGCATTGTTTATAAACGAGTTTGGATGGGATACTGTCGCCACCTTGTTTGAGATGGAGAGGGATTATTCTTTGGTATTGTCTAAAATAATTAAAAACAAAGTTAATTTCCAAGCCTTTATCATTTTACATCTGTATTACTGATGTTTACACACTTTTAACTGCAATGATTTTACTGTACACTTTGTTTAAATTGGCTACGATAATAAGTTATACATTAAAAATGAATGGTGATTCTCACGTTTATTCATAATAACTTTGTGCTATTCAACTTTTGTTTGAGACAAGAGCGAATAAAACCTACAAGTTACAAAACCTAAAGTTCCTTGCATCAATAAACATATTTGAATATACTCCTTATTTGTTTATCTTGTCAGGCAGTAGATGAAATGGGTAAAACATTTGAACAGAACAATATTACTATAAAGATATCAACATCATTTCGACGTTATGATGATATTGCAGCTAATCTTATTGCCATAAAGGTAATCTTTTCAAAAATCATATAGATGTTGTTGTACAATGCAGTCTTTAAAGTTATGTCTGGAGATTTCTGTTTGTAAATGTAACAAGACTGATTATGTATAGGTTCCCCATGGTGCAATATTTGCTTGTAAGACACATGGTATAAGAGTATATAAACAACGTTTGGAAACTAACATACTGTGTTTTTGCAGGTTTTAAAGCGCATTAACAGATATTGGACATTTTAAGAATACATTAAACAGAATCCGTAAAGAACGTCCGAAACGGAAAAAAATGAAAATGTTGCAGGCTCAGTTTGATTGAGCCAGTTCATGGACGGTACTGGAAAGTTAAAGTCACCGTGCACGCCCCTAGCACTGGCAAAAGAAGAAAAATTCAACATTTTGACATGAAAATGGTTAAATTATGAATTTAGAATCATCCACAATTAAGTTTAGGCTTAAGTTCAGATTGTTGTTAAGAAATCAAAAATAAAGTCACTCATTTCATCATTCAGATTCATTCTATCGCATCGAAAATATTTCTAATGAAATTTGTCCTATATAAATGAGGTAATGAGTTCTTATACGCGTTCTTTCCCAATAAAGAAGCTTAGCAATCGTATTACAATCGGAGATGCAATTAGATGATATGGGATTATTTGTGCATCAATATTCCGACATAAGGATTCATTGAAACAGCCATAGACTTAACACAAATCTGTTTCATCAGAATGCACAGATTACGAAAAATGGTATTAAGACGTGAAAACTGCTTGAGAATGAGCTAGAAAAATATAAGGAAAAATATCAATATATGGTCGCCTTTTTGCACTTTTATCAATGCAATTACTTTAAGGAAAACGCAAGATTTTGTTTTATTTTTCTTGTCTTAGGGATCATTGATTTTAACAAGTTGGTTTGGAAGATTTAATACCACTTAAGTCGGTGCTAAGGGGCGTGAGAGATGTTGCACTTTTACATAATTTCTCATGAACAGACTTAGTCAAACCGAGTATGCAACTTTATACAAAATTGCATTCTCACTGCTTCCGAGAGATCACCCCATTGCTATATTTTGATATACATTAAATAATAAAACAAAATATCTTTTTATATGATATATTTGATAGAAATGCAAACTGGAATGTTATAAGCATTTTAACAATATATCATCAGAAAATGATGGCCCTTTTAAATTTTTGCCATATTTGAATCAATTGTTTCCGTATTAACTTATCATAAATACAAATATGACTATTACTCTAAGATTTTTTTTTTAATAACGAAACAGTAAAATATTATGTTTTTGTTCTAAATAGCAGCTAAACAATAAAATAGGTCATTTTCCATTACTATTTTATGATATTGTGTACTGTTTCAATTATAGAGGCATGATGCTCGTATAATTATTGGAGGGTACACTGAAAAAGCAGCAAGACACGTACTTTGTCAGGTAGGATAATGTCATTTTATTCTTAAAGAAAAAAGGCACGCAGATAGAGTATCATGATTACGTGCCGACACTATTTTGGTATTGCTATTAAACATTTTGATATACATGACGTCATTATTACAGAAATTATTTGGTGCACAAACTCGTCAGAACAAAGCGAAATGCGTGCCAAGCTAATCCAGTGATTCACGTTCGTACCAAAAGAATGGAAGGTTTTAATCTAAATTATATAAACGGAAATTAAGGCGATAAATGGCTTTTCCGTAGCCTTAATTTTCTGATAAAAAAATGTAGGCGTGATGCTTTTTTAACAACAGCTATTTAACCAAGTATTATTGAAATTAATTTTTGTCAATACACTGCTTGATAAATATAATATATTAAACCCTATGTTGTGTACTAAAATAGCCTTTGAAGCATTTAAAAAGTAAAGTAAAAAAGCATTTTGAATCAGTTTTTTATGCAGAAAGTGATTTTGAAATATTTTGTTGTCTCCGCGAAACTGGTTCTCTACAGCAAAGAAACGTACAAGTAAAAGCAATTATAAATATTTGTCCAAAATTGTCCAAAATGAATTTAATTTTTCTTGCTTTTGTGTACTTTGAAACATAAATGAATAATGATAATGCATTGTATGTTATAATTACAATTTACGAATTTTGACTATTTTCAAGGCCTATCGCTTGAACATGTTTGGTCCGAGGTATGTTTGGATTATCATTGGCGACTATGTAGAGAAATGGTGGGAAATAACAAATGATACACTATGCAGCAGACGACAACTTCAGAAAGCGGCGGAGGGGTACTTCACCATTGACAGTCTAAACTCGCTTAGCGACGATGACATGTCATCTCTAAATATCGTTAGTAAATAAATATATCGTTTTATCTAAATATAGGCAGTGAAGAGCTTTACGACTTGACTTTTTCTGCCAAACTCTACTTGTATTTGTTATACATTTCTCGGGAAAAGGACAACGGAAAATCTGAGCGATGTTGGCTCCGTTATTTTAAATAAAGATAATATTCTAAGTCTTCTTAGATGATACTCCAGCATCTTTTTATCAATCAGGTGAGAAGGATGGAGAAGGGTATACTATTTATCGTCTGCTTTCAAGTCAGATTACTGCTATTTAATTAATTGTGGCTTACGAGATAGAAAACGCAGACAATTGGTCATTTATTCAATAAAAAATGTCTGTTTGTTCAGACAGCTATTATGTTAGAGTTAATTTACAGCCAATAGTATTAACGCAAATATAAAATGAAGAAGTTCTTGTGACATATCCATGAAAAAATAAAATATCAGTTGTTTTAAATCTTTTTATATCGGTGTCTACATGGCTGCTTAAATGATGTAAATTGTTGAATGGGCGCCTGCGTAATGTTTTTTTCCTTATCTCTTGCACAAACACGAATATAAGCTTGAATATTGTTAATATTTCTTATTCCTTGGCCTGTATTTTTTTTTCAACATGAAAAATTTAATATTTATATATAATTATTTAGAGCTTTCGACATTTTGTTGAGGAGTATGATTTAAAGAAAGGTGTGAGGCCAATGTCACCATATGCGACCAGCAGTTACGACACTGTTTGGACAATAGCTTTAACATTGCGTCATGCCATTGACCAAACCCAAAAGTCCAATGGCCAGGAGAACTCACATTTGTTGGAAAACTTTACTTATGAGAATGGAACAGAGACAAAAAATATATTCTTTGATATTATGCAAGATCTTGGGTTCCTTGGTATTTCGGTAAGTTGTTAAAGTTGTGAGATTTTGGCGTTGACATCTGTAACTAGCTTATTTCGTTAATTAGAACATTATGTTGTGAAAACATACTTTTTTGCATACATGCTCTTATTCTTGAGCGTTAAACATTTCTTCTCATGAAATAAATAAATAAATACATATTAAATAAATAAATGTGAAATATCAAAATATGCGCAAATATGTAAAATCGTCGAGTTTTATCTTTCAGTCGCACATAACATTTTGTCAGAAAAAAATAGTAACGTTTACAAATGTTGTTTAGTGTACGAAAAAATGATGATTTTTGCTCTTTATGTATACAGCAATCCTTTTCAAACCCTGCTAATTTACAAAATTTGCAACTTACGTTTATATTCCACTTAAATAAATAAATACATACTCATCGAAAACTTTCATTTTTCTCACGTTGCTTTTCTTTTGAACCACGTTTCCTGCCACCTTCAACTAAGGTAGTTGTATATTGTTTTTTTATATATTAAATTATTTAAATAAAACACTGTGAAAGATCCTAAGAATCAAAGTCATCAACAATTCATTTTTATTGTTGCTATTTAAGGGTCCAATATCATTTGAAGGTCCAGACAGAAAGGGGATATCCGTCATCAGTCAAAACCAAAGTAAGTATCACTTTGTTATGAACCGACATCGCTATTGTATTCGAGTTATATTTTATTTAAAAGCTCAATAAACCTAAAAAAAAAAGATTATACATTGTATATAACGAGTTCTCATGATTATCTAGTCGAACGCACTTTCGGATTTTTTCTAAAATTAATATTTCTCCATTTGCATGTCCAAATATTAAACCCGCTTCAACTGGTGCTGTGGTTGGGATGCGGTGGACGATAGCTAGCATGTTTAACTACTGTACATGAACATGCTCGATCAAACCGGGGCTTGCATCGTTTTCTACATAATAAGCGTTCTTAAAACTTTCCATTCTTTTACAATTCTGAAAGTAACGTCGGCAACTTAAAAGCCATCAGATGACAAAATAGCGTCGGAGTGATTTTAAAAATTCGAAAATATTTTACAAGAAGAAACGATATATTGTTACGTTAAATCTTGTTTTCTATTTTACTATTTCAGATGGTCGAATGGTTAGAATTGCCCTTTACGAACCGGAAGAAAAGAAATTAAACTTTTACTGCAGAGCATGCCAACCAATAATTTGGTTAGGTAATTCGTACTATACATCATTGTATTTTTGATCAAATTTGTGTTAAGCTATCAATCCACCAAATATGCAGATATGATATTACTATATATCCAATGAGGTTTAAAAGCGTATAAACATAAAATTTCATTTAACATAAAATTTCATTTCTTTAACACAGATCAGCCGGGAGGGAGGGGGCACTTAAAACAGAAAGATATGCAACACGTGTTAAAAAAATACTCTAAAACTATTGAAAATCGTATTTTTATGCTATTCTTTGCCCGAGTGAATAGTCTTCAATTACGGGTCAATTTTTCACAATAGATAATAAATATTCTGGAAAAAATAGAGTGCGCGAATGATCTGTAATTTTGCACACAGTGGTCTAGACCACATAGAAACAGTTGAGTTTCTTTAAGATCCTTCAAAAAGAAAATAAATACATAAACATCGTTGCTGTATATATTTTGAAAGGCATTGTTTGACTACTGTTTCTTAGTCTGAAAAGTTTGACTACTTGTTTTTAGTCTAAATAAAAGACAAAATTACATAAGAAATTTTCAGCTCTGGTTTGTAATGTTGATATTGAAATAGCGTGTGCCGGTGTAATTTGTAGAAACATTAATTGAAATACAAAGCAACTTCAAAGTTTTTCTGGTTCATTATGATTTTAATCTATTCTTTGTCGACTTCATCATACCGCCATACCGACATTAAATATGTCGTCCTTAATGAGTGGTATATGAATTGACAATCCATCGCAACCAGTCATTTGCAGGGTCTATTTGCAGTGTCGTTGTCGATAAAACTATTTCTATCACGTAACGATTCCATTAACTTCCCCTTGAGAAGGTTTAGTCTTAAAAACATAACTATGTTTATAATTTAACATCTCAATGATATATTATATTTCAATTCTTGTTTTGTCATTTTTAAGTTATATACTTTTAAGGTGGCCGAGCACCACGTGACAAGACGGTGTTGGTGTCAAGAAAGAAAAAAATAGATGCCTTAGCGTTTTTAAGTGTCAGTTCAGTGAGTGTATGTGGACTTATTCTTGCTAGTGTGTTTCTAGCTTACAACCTTTACCATCGACGATTAAGGTATATATATATACAGTTATTAATTAATCAAAATTATAATCGTTGATGAACCAAGTAACCGATGGATACGGAATAGAAAATACAAAAACAAAACAATAGTTTGATGCTCTAACTGTTTCTTTTAATGTTAATAAACAGTATTTTAATAGGATTATTTTACTTACACTTTTTATATTGTTATCAGCAAAACAGCCTTTGTTTTAATGTATTCTTAGTAGCTAAATTTCGTTTGAGTATATACAAATTTATACTTTTTTATTTCATCGTTGGCTTTTATTGATTCGAGACGTGCTGTCTTTTGAAGGTATATCAAACTATCGAGCCCAAAATTAAACAACGTCGCTGTTGTCGGGTGCATGTTTGTATACGCTGGCATAATTGTTCTTGGATATGACGACACAATGCTGGATGAAGTCTTCTATCCGTACCTGTGCACGGTAATAGCATCCTTAATAATATTATTAGTCCATTCCTTATGTGTGCAAGATATTCTAAGTATTCATATGCGATTTTATATATGTTTAAAGTATGGGTACCTGATAGAAAAATACCCACATATAATAATGAACATGCATTCTGCAAATCGAGAAAAGGAATGAAAATTGTCTTAAACTCTTATAACGGACCGGACAAATGTCTTATAAAATATCTTTAAACTGTACAGAGAAATCAAAGACTGCAATTTACCTAATAGTATTTGATTGATTGCTCTTAGATCTATCCAAATTGAATGAGACACTTGATTAAACTAGCCATTTAGAATAAGTGCGTTCTTAGACAATTTGATAGGACAACGACAAAACTTCGCAAAAACTGCTATATCGAAATTGTTTCGTCACGGTTATTGGTTAAAGTCTAGGCAATAATGTTTATAAAGTCTAGGATTAAAGAACAAATGTTGACAAATTTTCATTTCAGTCAAGGACCTGATTATTTTTGTTTCTTCATTGTACCAAATAAATATTTTTTCATCAAATTGTTCTACTGCTTGTTTCATAAAAGCTTGTACTTGATCAGTAAGAATTAAAGCATTTTAAGTAATTGTACACCCTTTCTTTTGCTGACTTTAAATGTCAGTCATAATTATTTTATGGCAGTGCTATGGTTTATGATATGTAAAATATGTTGTAGACAAGAGCTTTCCTGTTTGCTGCCGGATTCTCGCTATCGTTTGGAGCTATGTTTACCAAGACATACAGAGTTCATCAAATTTTCACGAGAGCTAATAGAGGCCTTATAAAAAGCAAGGTATAATAGTGTTACAGGACCAGACATTAGTGTAATATATGGTTGTTAGAGAATCATTGCTTGCTATTTTCCGAAATAATGTCCAGATATCTTAACTAGTTTTGAGTTTTTTATGCATTTGTTCTTCTTAATTATCATGACTAAATACGTTTGTTTGATTTTAAAAGAATGATATGCTTGAAATATATACACGAAATACATTAAATAAGAAAAACGAATTGCCTCGAAATAGAACATCAACATTTACTATACATACATTATTTGATACGATATAAGCATATTGATAGCTCTAACGTTTGTCTAAAATTCCGTAAAAATATGTAATCGCTATGTGGAGTTGACATGAATAATAATTTAAAGAGATATTCAAAGAGAATGATAAGAGAGAATGATAAGGTACTTTTTAAGACATTCATATCAGTATCTGAAATGCATAAAAACATTTGAAATTGCAAGCGTTGCTAAATTGATCAATAATTATATCAACAAAGTTTCTTTTTTAGTTGCTCAGAGACAAACAGCTACTGTTTATCATTGGAGCGTTACTGGTTGTTGATTCGGTTGTTTTATTGATTTGGGGATTTGTTGATCCTATGCATAAACAGATTACAAACCTTACTACAGAGGTTAGTTTATTTACATTGAATTTTTTTTGTTTAACATTTTAACAAGTTAAAAATCAAAACGACAAGTTTAGCCTACCACAATTTCTTCTAAGGGAATATGAAATTTATGAATATCACTATAAACAGGGATCCAAGTTCAGGAGCTGGAAGCAGATTTATCTTCAAAAATATTTATCAATTAAAGCTCAGTAAAGTAATCAGAAACAAAATTGTAGACATAAATGCTGCTGAGATCAAATCATCATTCAATTTCAATATCCCTCACAGCATATCAATTTAAAGACATATACATAGATGATGCGACTTGTAAGAGATTTATTTTCGTAACCGATTTATGAATTGTGTGAAATATGCACTCAGATTTCTCTAACAATGAAGAACCCATGATCGCCCACTTATGCTCGCTTTCTACGTTCTGAAGAAATATTTCGTTATAAAAATATATTAACGATGACATTTAAATCATTGTTTCAGGTTTCGGAGAATGATGATGATCTTTTATACATATCACAACTAACAAAATGTCATTCAGACCATCTTGACAAATGGACAGGCATTTTGTATGTTTACAAAGGATTACTCCTTATGTTCGGAGTGTACATGGCCTGGGAGACGCGGCACGTGAAGATTCCGGCTCTAAATGACTCCCGTTATATTGGCATGAATGTATATAACGTAGTTATTATGAGCGCATTGGTTGTAACCATATCAAATATATTATCTCATCAACCAACCCTGGCATACGTTATGGAGTCGTCTTTTATGTTGATTTCAACAACAACGACTCTTTGTTTGTTGTTTGTGCCAAAGGTAAGGCCAATTTTATTTTTGTTGAATTAATTATTGTTCTTTACTATCTCCTTGTGAAGTTGTAAAGAAACATTATGAAATAATCTCTCTTAACTTGGTGTTACGATGATAAGATATGTTGAATTCTTCATTCTAATGATATGAAGAGCAGTTTACAACATATTTTATATAACTTAAGCAGTGTGACTGCTCTTTCGCAGATTTTATGTATCTCTACTTAAAGTGTTTATAATTGAGGTTGAGTTATTTTCATGCTATACTTTAGCACAAAAGAAAAACCTAAAAACAAAAGTAAACAAAAGAAATAAACACACAAAAAGAGGAAATCTCAAATTGCGTGTTTTGATACTTGCACAGTTTGATATATACTTCTGCAGTTACAAAAAAACGCTACTATTTTCAGATCTATGCTATACTAACATACAAAGGTGAACCGATTATTGCGGCCTCGGGTATTACTGTGGAAGCTAATTGCCGTCGGTTTGCTGTTGACGAACGCAGAGAACATTTCTATAGGGCTGAGGTTCAAAACAGAGTATATAAACGTGAAATAATTGAGGTACTTTCACACAAGTCAAGTAGACAATTTAAATATATCTTTTTTATGTGAAATCCAGGGTTTAATTTATTGCCGAACTAGACAAAAACACTACGTTTTAGGAGGTCTGTTATCTGCTAAATAGCTAATATTTAAACTATTAAACATAAGACATGACGTGTTATTCAAAATATGTTGAAGAAAATAAGCGAATTGATGCGTCCTGAAAGATTAAAACATAGCCATGGACAAAAACAGAAGCGAATCTAAACACCTTTTAAGACAAAGTTGCATTTTATTTGTTTGATTAATATATATATGTTTCGCTATTAAATATACTTTTCTTCTCATTAATAGCGGTAGTTAGCATTTTAAAAAATAAGGATAAACAAGACAATGAACTGACCAAACGAATTATTGTTGATATTTTTCTATATTCAATCAAAAGTACATTAGATGGGCACGGTCATGTGTTAATTTCTGAATCGTAATCTCGAAATATGTGATGCTCGGTTTTACTATAAATTCATATATTTTAGTCTAGATTGTTTCATTTGGCTTTTGATTTCTATTATATAATTAATATAGCTGGAAGCAGAGATTATACGGCTAGAGAGACTTTTGGAAATACCTGTCAAACCTTATCCGAAGTTGACAAGGGAATTGTTAAAATCACTACCCGAGTCAACAGTTGACCCATCACCTGAAGTTAAACGGCGCTGGACGCAAGATAGGGACAGAGATGTGTACGCGTGTTTTTGTCTTTCTTCTTCATCATGTTAAATCTGGAAACGAATTATTATTTACTTGTGTTTTTCTTTTGTTTTATGTACTTCAATGTAATATTCATTTGATATATTTATATTTAGTGAATACTTTTTATATTTAAAAAGTTAGGAGAGTCATTTATTTTATTTGTTTACTATTAGAAAATACAAATAAAAAACGTGTGATATTTCGTCAAAAATGCAGTTGCATTCTTTCCATTAAACAGTTTTCAAGGGAAGTTGTGTTCATCAAACGTTCCTTGGTAAACTTTTGAATTTTTATTTTTAAAACAACAGAGAATTCAATCTGCTACCAGATATGTTTTGCTTTGCATTGTTGTAATAAAATGTTATCCTTAATATTCGAAGGCGTTTTTCAAGTCATGTCAATAAAAAGTATTCTGTTTTCAGATGTGTCTCCATATCAGACGCTGGCGATGTATGTATGGGTGTTTCTGAGGATCGATCTGACGACGGTCATGGCCAGCAAGGCGAGGACACTCGTTCAAGGTCAAAACCTTTCCGGCGACGGGCTAATAGATTAAGTATACGTGTAGCTACGAACTATGCATATACAAAATTATGTAAACTACGCCCTAGATTTAGTGTCGGGAGTGTTAATTTCAAACATGACTACGAGGACTTAAAAGGATCTCCAACGTCTCCAGATGGCCATCTAATAAACGCTTTACCTATAGAAAGAAGTAGATCATCCCATCCTCTAATGCGACAAGAGGCGTTAGAATTAAGTCAGGGAGGAATAAGCGTTCCTAAGCAAGACTCGGAAAAGAGTGAAACAAAAACGTGCGATACTCGTGTATCCGATGAAATGGAATCTGAAATTGCTCAAGAATGTCCATCTATTAAATTCTATGTTCCGCAAATGGACCTTCTTAAAGTTCCGTCCAATACTGATTTAGCTGGTTGTGAGCAAAAAACACTGACAAAAGTATATTCTGCTCCTGTTCGCAGGCGTCGAAAGCATGGCAATACTTTGTCCGTTTCCCCGATGCAAGAGGCGTGTTTGATAACAGAGGTGGATTCCAGTAGCGCGGAGCGGTCAACTCCGCGTCTTCGACGGGCAAAGTCTATTCTAGAACATGAACGTAGAACCAGGATACGGAAATTACAAGCAGATTTAAGACGTATCCAAAACGAACTGCAAAATTTGAATGATCTAGAATATGACATTTCCGAAGTATAATTAATAAGATGGAATAAAATTAAACTTAATATATGATTAAAAACGGAAAATGGTTTATTACTTATTACAATGGTATATTTTGTTTACCATGCTTTATTTACCACGTATAATGATGATTATTGAAAGAATTATTTTGGACAAATTATTTGAATTTTTTGTAAATTACTATATTCATACAGATTCTTTTTAAGAGATAACATATTGACACCTTTGTATAAATTATATGATAAATAAGGTTTTATGTAAAGCTAATTCATCCTTTTGACATGCAATAAAATATTGATTTATTTCAAATAAGTAAATGTTGTTCAGTTATATCCTGTTTAATGTTTATGAAGTTTAATCCTCGTCATACATATTTAATTATAAAGGATACTATAGTTTAATCGAATTCGACTTTCAAATTGGCAGAATAGAAAATGTTACATAAGTGATTTTAAATTTTCGAGCAAGCGATTATAGTAACAAAACACTGACATTGTTTCGATAAGCCTTTACTAACAGAGAAAATATTACAATTGCAAAACATAGCATTGTTGCTACTTATGTTTACTTCTTATAAACTTACTATTTTGTATTCCTCAACAGACTAAATCAAACCTAGCCTGTAGTATTTACAATATTGCCGTTTGTTTTCGTTTTTATAAGGTATCTTTAAATGACAAGATTGATATTGAAGTTTTAAAATTAGTTAATACTAGTTTTCATAGAGGCAATATTTAACGTCTGAAGCAGTTATGAGTTATGTAAGTCATTATTTAAGTAAAAGATATATGTTTTAAAGAATTGAAATATTAACTTGACATGTTTGTGTTGGTTGAGTTGTTACCAACACTGTAAAGGCCATATGGCTTTACTGGTGGAGGAAGACTTCAGGTGTCCCACCATGCATTATTTCAGGCACAAGCGGGCATCTGAGTAGAACCACCGACGGTCCGTTAACTTACTGGAAAGCTGCCTCAATTGAAATAATCCAAAGTACCTGGCGGCGATTCGATTCCAGAGCGTTGTGGGGCAAGAGGCTTGAAGCCAACGACATTAACCACTCGCTCACAGATGCTACTATTCCAAAGTATTACTCGTGTGTAGACGTATTTATCTCAATTCAAACGATAAGTGTATTTCATTCATAATCATTCGAATATTTAATTGCGACTTTCATTTAAGAAAATACATGGATAAAGAACTGTACGCCTGCTTTGATTTCTTGCCGCCATAATCGGTATACAACCATATAAATAATGAACCAATTAATAAATACGTCGTTTTTCAATGTGATGTGTCTCTTGGAAAATCATAAAACGTCCGAGATAAATGTACTTTTCAAGTTAATTATACAGTCTCTTGGTCAACCATTGTTATTGTTAAGTACATAATTCAAAATATGACATTTATTTATAGTATTGATAAATAATTCTTTCGGCAAAGAAGTTGCAATATGTATGTGTACAGAACATGGCCGTTATAAGAGCATTGTGATTTCCTTTACTTTGCTCCGCAGTCCAAATAATGGAATAAATAAAGAATTGCATTGTCCATTTCAGTCGTTTATGCCAGAATAAAGAACACAAATCGTTAGCAATGAACAGCATTTGAAAATAATTTTAAATATAAATCTGTCAGATGTTTTCGTTTTGTTTTGACTTTGGTTTAGAATCACGTTATGATTAAGGAATAAAGCACTGACTTTAGACAAAATGTGTTCGCTCTAGTCAAATTTAAAGCTTAGGTATGCATCGAATTCTTGGTCATTATTTATTTGATATAATTATTTTTTATGACTTTAGCGTCACTTATTACGACAAATATCAAAACCAAAGCAATCTTTGTTTGATACGTACGATCCCGTGCCTCCTACTATCACTTAGTTCTAGACATGACCCGGATTGAAATGATGTTGTATAATAAAATAAATTATATCGGTTGTTAAACATTTGTTTATGTGACCAAAATGTTAAATTATGAACGTTTTGAAGTGACAATTCGATTTCTTTCAACTACTTTCTATATTTGAAGAGCAATTTTAAAATATTAGTACGTCAGTTGATTTTATGTTATCTATTGGAGGAATACTGCTTCTTTTAATGTCATAATATTACATGGTAATGAGAAAGTATTAAAAACAAACAAAGCAAAAAGTATCATTATAAAAAGATACTCGGCCGAAGAAAACCTGGTTAACTTTTACATGTTTTTCCTAAGTTTTCGATACATATTTATTAATTTAACAGAATAAATAATTGGGTTATTCATCTTAAAAATGGAAAACTGTAAGATGTATGTGCCCTTAATGAATATCTCGTGTTTCGGAAAGTGTTCTCAGTTTCAGCAACATCTACGCAGTCGGTAGGCAATTATATTAATTAATACTTTATAAGTATGCAAAGATACATGCAAATTATAAGCATTATACCAATTGAACACATTAAAAATCAGTTACCCTTTATTTTTTAATTTTAAAATGACCAATAAGATTCCCAGATTTTAGTTTGTAATTTTAAAATGACATTAAAATTCTTCTTATAATCAATTCCACCATGTACAATTACTGACAGTCCAACTGATTTGAGATGGCCTTCGGTAAAAAAACAACATTAATTTTATGTTTCATTCTCATATATTGACACATATCAAACGTCATTCATATAATTTCTAAAGTGCTATTATTTCTTGTATAAAGGAAAACTGCAAAGATTGTTATATATCATCGGCGTCAAAGACTTCCGATATTCCGTTAAAAAACACTGAATAACATCTGTATGGTAGCCGGGGAGATATTTGATTGTAAATATTCATTTTGGAAAGCACATATTATGTCAAAATTGCGTGCATTCGTATAATTTTACTTGAAGTCCCTAAATGCAAGAATTGGTTGGTAGTCAATTGATTTAAAGTGTCTTCATCATACAAGGTAATGTTTTGGGTTGTATAGCAATTGTTGTACACATACAATTCATACTAAAATAATATTATATGTTATTGATTATATCAATATATTATTAAACCTTTTTGCCAATATGATTATTATTTGATTATAACGTATATACATAAAAAACACATTCTTGTATATTAAAAAAAGAATTCTTATTACAAAGACAGCATTTGACAGAAAGGATCTTGTAACACGCACTGAAAAAACTCTTCACAATTACTTTTTCAATTACAAAGTCATTTACCTTTTTATACCAAATTCGATGCACTGAAAAATATCGGTTAATAGTTGAAAATATAATACATTCTATTCAATGAAACCAATAATGACATTAATATTTCCTGTGATAACAATAATTTGGATTAAAATCTACCGACTGGGATATCTTAGCTTCAATTGCTTTAATTAGGTCGTCTAGTAATAAACTACAATCGATAATGTTACATTTATTTTAAACACTTATTTTGATAAAAAAATTAAATGTTATATTGTATGATGTCGAAAAAATTTCCAAATGTTTAATGAATTATTTACATTATATATTTTCGTTGATCAAAGTACGGGGAATGTGGTTAACAATTCACCGAATGAAATATTCTGTATCTTTAGGTTTTATCAATTAACGTTGCCGGCCAATAAGTATTTAAAATTGTATTTAAGATCTTACTCCAAACCTAGTAGTTTAACAATAATTATGCATATGTACCATTTCTTGAATAGTGCCACATCAAATATATTCATCACCAATTGTGCTACAAATACACAAATCATTTGCCACATTTGTGAAAGAACGACACATATCAAAATTATTCTATCGTATGCATAACACCGATTTGGAAATATTCATATCCAAGTTTCAGGAAATAAAAAATCGTTTATTTAAAGCTTTTATCAATAAGCGTTAAACGAATAATGTTCGACATCTTAAAGCAAAAGTACACAATCAATTATTCAACAAAACCTAGCAATTTTCAAGCGATTTGTGCTTGTTAGCGCACACTATTATGAGAGTCTATGAGACCGCAAGTTTTATCTTTGAAAATAATTGAAATCCTTATCTGGGTTAACAAGATTTAATAGTCATTAAATTTAAGGAACTGAAAAAAGAAATCTTAAAAATAATGCATAAAAATGCCTCTACTTTTCCTTTTCCAAATGCTAAGACTTGTTAATATTTTAAATAAAAATTAGTAGTATTAGTAAACATAATGTTTTTTTCATCTTTGCCGACTTTATGAATAATACTCGATGTGTTTAAAAAACAGTGGGTTCAACTTTGGACAAAATAAAACAGTGTTAAGAATATCTATTACTCACTCATGAAAATGGCTCCAAGCAGGACATCAGGGACTAAATTTGAATGTTTTAAATATAAGCTTTTATGAATAATAATGCCTTGAAGTCTGCAAAATGGGATGTTTATCTTTGAACAAAATTATCAGAATATTTTTGGTACTTTTATTATATTACTGTCATTGTTATTGTCAAAAATGTTCCCAACGCTCGGTTTTCCATATTTCAAATGCTTTTAGAATTAGAAAACTTCATATGCATGACGTCATCAGTAAAGCGTCGTTACATATGCAACCACTAGAAAAAAGGAAAAGACTGTTATTGATTTAATAATAATTGTTTTTTATTCATTTTAAAATAAGAAATGTCGAGAGAATAAAGTTACATGAGATTCCAGAAAAGGAAAATCTAGAAAACAAATATATCAATTATTTTCCCCTCGTCAGTGGTTAGAAAAACACGAGTCAAATCTCCGATATGATATTATTTCACAACATTGTCTTTTATACTTTTCTTTCGTTGATAATTTGTTTAGAAAATTATTGTTTATGTCAATGGTTAAGGACAGATTTTTACCATATTTATTGTATGACATACAGAATATTTATATCATTAGAAATAAATCTTAATTTAATAATATAATATTATTGTTAGTCCTAACAGAATTCAAAGTTGACTTTGAATAGTAATGCAACTTCTGAGCCGCGGTAAGTTCATTATTTTTATAAATTAAGGTGAAAAACGTTTCCGAATTCCACACTAGACCTGGCCTATC